TAGAACAAGTGACCTGAAGAGTGTCATCATGGGCTTGGCCTCCCTAGTTTTGAAGGTTCTCATTATCCATCCTGTCATTTTTCTAGCAGATGCGATTGATACAATGTTATGGTCCTTGAAGTGAGATCCTCCGACATAATCACTCCCAGGTCTTTGACGTTGGTGTTTCGCTCTATTTTGTGGCCAGAATTTGTTTTGTACTCTGATGAAGATTTAATTTCCTCATGTTTACCATATCTGAGTAATTGAAATTTCTCATCGTTGAACTTCATATTGTTTTCTGCAGCCCACTGAAAGATTTGGTTGATGTCCGCCTGGAGCCTTGCAGTGTCTGCAATGGAAGACACTGTCATGCAGATTCGGGTGTCATCTGCAAAGGAAGACACGGTGCTGTGGCTGACATCCTTGTCTATGTCGGATATGAGGATGAGGAACAAGATGGGAGCTAGTACTGTGCCTTGTGGAACAGAGGTAGGAGGGGGAGGAGAGGGGAGGAAAGGGGAAGAAGGGGAGAAGAGGAGAGGAGGACGAGAGGAGAGGAAAGGGGATGAGAGAGAAACAGAGAGAGGAGGAGGAGGAGGGAAGACAAAAGTTAGTGTTAGTACCTCATGTTACATGGCATCCAGTTATCACCTGTCTCTTCTCTTTCCTCCACTCCCCTCACTCTCTTTCTCTTCTTGCTGACTACGCTACCCCTTCCTTTCCTCTCCCCTCACCCACTACCACCAAGTTCCTCTCATGGCTACTTTATCCCTCTCCCATTGCCACGAAATTTCCTGCTCTACGTGTTTTCAGTAGCATTCTCAGTGAGTCAGTAATAACAAGTTTAACACCAGGGGAGCTACTGAGGGTGGGGAGTGGTGGTGTGGGCGGGGAAGTTCCTGAGGGTGGGGAAGGTGGTGGTGTGGGCGGGGAGCTACTGAGGGTGGAAGGTGGTGGTGTGAGTGGGGTGGTGGGGGCAGACGTGAGGGGTGGTGGGAACTTTAATGGTGAGTGTTTGATGTTGCTACCTTGTTATTGTGCCTATTGAGGCAGTGTGTGTGTGTGTGTGTGTGTGTGTGTGTGTGTGTGTGTGTGTGTGTACTCAACTAGTTCTCACCTAGTTGTGGTTGCGGGGGTCGAGTCACAGCTTCTGGCCCCGCCTCTTCACCTGGGTGTGTGTGTGTGTGTATATTCACCTAATTCACCTAATTGTAGATGCAGGGGTCGAGACTCAGCTCTTGGCCCCGCCTCTTCAGTGATCGCTACTAGGTCCTCTCGCTCCCTGAGCGTTGTCATACCTCGTCTGCCACAAACACAACTGCCACCACCAACACAACAACGCCACGACCACCACTATCCCAGCCACCACTACCGCGTCACCACTAGACCCACTACCATCAGTCGCCACCAAAATAACCAAAATTACCATAACAACCACAACAATGTATCTTATAGAAACTACTCACTCTACCAATCTGCCTTTGTGAGAGATCAGTTCATGCCCTTTCAAAGCCAAAGTCATTATACTGATACAGTCGGTGTATCAACACGGTTGTGATAGGAGTTATAGTGGAGATACAAATTAAAAAGTCGACTGTATCGGTATTGAAACCCGGTTCAGACAAAAATCGCATTCTGCAGTGTTGCTTAATAAGAGAGTTCACGGTATGTTTTTCCTATTGAGTCACCTATGGTACTGCCCCACCGGGTGAGCAGGAGCCCAGCTTGTGTGGATTAGGCCACAGTAGACGAACATTATATTCGTGTTAAAAGGTTAAACCCCAAAGCATCGGGGCAATGTGGGGCAAACAGGTATGACCCAAGGTAGGGGAGAGGTGGCTCCAATTCCTTGTATAGAGACACCTCCGGCATAAAGGAATCCCTCTCGTTGAAGAGTGACCGAGGATGAGCGTTACCACAGTTGTGGCGCTCCATGCTCCGCGCCTCTCAGCCTGTGTTGTGACACCAGTCTTGGTTTAGAAAGACACGTCAGCAAACACATGGGAATATTAATTTGAAAACGTTCCGGTCCTGGGACCTTGATCACTCCTAATACACAGAGGTTAAAAAGACAGTATATATAGGCGGATAGTGATGTGTGGGTGGCACATGGTGACCTGAAGAATGCCATATTGGGATGAGGACGGGTAGACAATGTGTTTTAGGCCGGTGGTGCAGTGCCTGATTAAGTATCATTTATGCTAACATTTTTCTAAACCAACTTGTCAGTATCTATTACCACGGTTTGTATAAACCCCCGGTCTTCTAAACCTTTGCATCATTCCTATATCTCCGTTGCTTCCGTCCCTTTCATTTCTCCACCGCCTGTCCCCCGCTATTTGATTGAAGAAGTCTTTCATGGATCTCAGACTTCCAGAGTGCAGCCTTCAAAGTTTTCCCTTTGCTCTGAGGAATATTATTATATTCACTAAACACCACAATTCATATGGGCCATTCATCTTGCACTTAACTCTCAAGAGCGCTCTAAGGTACAATACTTTTTGGCACTAGTTCCTCATAGAATACCCAAGAGGCGCCCCAAGTGCCATTACCTGTTGGCACTTGCTCCCCATAGAATACCCAAGAGGCGCCCCAAGCGCCAGTACTTGCTGGCACTTGCACCCCACAGAATACCCAAGAGGTGCCACAAGTGCCAATACTTACTGGCACTTGCTCCTCATAGAATATCCCAGAGGCGGCACAAGTGGCATCAAATTAGCTTCACCAGAAAAATGGCGAAGCCAATATGATAAAGCCAATTTGTGTTGCAGCATCGTTATACTGTACCTCTGGAAACAGAGTCCTGCTCCACAGTGTGTAGCAAAAGTAGTGCGTCTGTCTCACGCTAGGCGGACGGAGGATCGAGCCTTCACCACTTCCTGCGCTGGATGACCACACGGGTTTAGTGCTTCATATTATTATATAAATTCCGATTGGTGATGTGCCGGCATTACCTTGACGATAATCACATCAGCCTCTTGGCAAGACTTTAGCGTTCTATCACCCATTTCTGTTTACGAGTTTCTTTTAAATAATAATAATAATAATAAAAATAATAATAATAATAATAAAAATAATAATAATAATAATAATTAATCTTTATTTCTACAAGTACACAACGTATACAGATCATAGCTGACATCAATGACATACTATATAGAAAGTCCCTGGTTATGCAGAGCATTTCGGACAAATTAGGTCAATTTTGTCCCTAGGATTTAAACCACACCAGTTGACTGACACCAAGGTACCTATTTACAGCTAGGTGAATGGGGAGAGCAGGTGTCTTAAGGAAACACGTCCTTATGTTGTCACCCGTACCGGGGATCGAGCTACAGGATCAAGCTGGTTTGAAGCCCCACCCGTTCCGTGGGTGGGACTGTGACTTCGTCTGACATTATCTCCTGAAGAACCGTCTCATGAAGGACCATAAACAAATTTATGTTGTTTACAGTACTAGCCAGACAGCCTGGTGAGCGCCCCAAACAGATGGGGCTACGTGCAACAGGTGGTGATGCAGCAGCAGCACCACCTGCCCAGCGCCCCGGGATAGGACAGATAGAGTTACAGGCAACAGGTGGTGATGCAGCAGCAGCACCACCTGCCCAGCGCCCCAGGATATGACAGTTACAGGCAACAGGTGGTGATGCAGCAGCAGCACCACCACCTGCCCAGCGCCCCGGGATAGGACAGATAGAGTTACAGGCAACAGGTGGTGATGCAGCAGCAGCACCACCTGCCCAGCGCCCCGGGATAGGACAGTTACAGGCAACAGGTGGTGATGCAGCATTAGCACCACCTGCCCAGCGCCCCGGGAGAGGATAAATATAGTCACAAGCACCAGGTGGTGATGAACAGCACCACCTGCCTAAAACATAAACATACAAACTGTACAAAAGACAACAAGCAGAGAACACAAACCGAAATGAACTCACATACATAGTCTTGATCAAAATACAAACAAACAAAAACTTACCTGTAACCCATGATTCACTTGTAATTTACCACTTGCCTCACTTACAAGCTTAAACGTTATGAAAAATAGTATCCAGCTTTATTCCCTTAATGAAGGGAGCCAACTAATTACAGTTGTTTTAGCTACACACAGCTAACAACACTCTGGTGTCGGTAGTCACCTTCAACACCCATGAAGCTTTACGGTACGTCAAAAAATATTCTTAAAGTCTAGAAAAACGTTCGGAACACTCGCTCGAAATCCTACTGGCCGAAAGCCAGTCAGGCTTTTGTGCCCAAAAGAAACGAATACTTCAAAAAATTCAACATTCTCTACAACGTTCCAGAGTTTTATTCACGGATATATATATATAATATATATATATATATATATATATATATATATATATATATATATATATATATATTATATATAATATATGTGTTGTATGTGTTGTGTGGTTGTGTGTGTATCAATAACAACAATCTGGCAGCCAAGGATTCGTAACCATGTGTACTGGGCCTGCCTTATAAGCGAGAAACCATGACGCTTTAATTAAACCACAGGACCACAGGGGTTGGGTAGTCCCGTGGTTTAAAGCGTCATGTGGTTCTCGTTTACCATGAGGCAGGCCAGTACAACATGTGTTCGAATCCTTGGCTAGCGCAGTGTTGTTATTGATACACACACACACACACACACATAAATATATATATATATATATATATATATATATATATAAAATATATATATATATATATATACACCTACATATATATGTATGTATATTTACTAAAAAATTGTGAGAGTGCTTTCGTGATTTCTCACATTATCAAGGAGCTGTTTTTTATTGTGGTTATTTTGTATACTATGGTATCACCTGTGAGCTTACTGCCTATTTCAGAGATTAAATTATCCTTGACTGGTGGTGTACAGGTGACATACAGCTGTAATGACACCTGGTGCGGTCGGCAGGTTTTAAATCCAATAAATCAACACCGATCCTGTGAAGACATGGTGTGAATATTACAGAGGTGACAGCAGCATGACAGATCTCCCTTACCTTATTACTGCCCTCGTCTCCAGTCCAATGCCGTAGTCCTGTCAAAGAAACAATCATTTAGCTTCACATCTGCCAAACACCATTTAGCTTCGCACCTGTTAAACACCACATAACTTCACACCTGCCAAACATGACTGTCATCAACAACAACAACGAGCAAGTGAATGTCTTCGTTAAGTTCTTTTCAGGTCTTCGTTCTGCATTCGTTTCTCAAGAGAAATATTATTGCAATCTTATATCCAAACTAACTGCTAAATATCTACCAGGTCGTCACCCACTTTACCCTTGTCACATCCCTGATCACCTGACCTGGTAGACTACCAGGTCACTAGTCATGCCTCGCTACCAGGTTTAAAAAAAATGTGAACAAACGCTGGGATATTTCTTTCAGAAAACATTTTGGTGGAAGAAGAAACACAACTGCGATCCTTTACTCACATTGTTTTACCCATTGTACGGCGCAGTATGTCGATGTTTTATACTATTTCCCTTCAAAACGTTTCGGTCTTGAGATCAGGGTCCCAGAACGATACGTTTTCCAATAAAAACGTCCTAGTGTCTGCTCACGTGTATTTCTAAACCAGTTGTCGGTATCAATTACCAAAGTTTATCCCATCAGTACCAGAAGCGGAGCCGCCCTGGCTGTGGTCCAGCCAAGAGGACATTAAATTCACTTCCGCAGAAAACATATGACCCACTTCGGGGGAACAGTGTCTGTAAAAACACTCAGAGTAACATAAGATTCTCATTTCCTTTAGTAGAAGGTCCTCGACCAGTACCTGGTATTTGGTCTCCATACACTGCTGCCTCCTAGGTATCGGGTCTCCGTACACTACTGCCTCCTAGGTATCTGGTCTCCATACACTGCTGCCTCTTAGGTACCTGATATCTGGTCTCTGTACACTACTGCCTCTTAGGTACCTGACATCAGGTCTCCGTATGTTACTACCTCCCACGTATCTGGCATCAGGTCTCCGTACACTACTGCCTCCTAGGTATCTGGTCTCCGTACACTACTGCCTATTATGCATCTGGTATCTGGTCTCCGTACACTACTGCCTCCTATGTATCTGATCTCCATACACTGCTGCCTCTTAGGTACCTGGTATCTGGTCTCTGTACACTACTGCCTCTTAGGTACCTGACATCAGGTCTCCGTATGTTACTACCTCCTACGTATCTGGCATCAGGTCTCCGTACACTACTGCCTCCTAGGTACCTGATATCATGCGTCCGTACACTACTACCTCCTAGGTGCCTAGTATCAGGTTCCCAGTGACTATTTCATGCTAGGTACCTTGACACTATCTAGAACCAGGTCGCTAGTGGTTACCCCCTACTAAGTACCTGGAGACTACCTATTACCAGGTCAGGCGCCACTTACCTTTCATTACCAAGTATCACGTCACTACCACGTAACAAGGTATCTTACCAGTCCTTCCTACCAGGTGACCGGTAACTGAACACCTGAGGGCATTCCTTCTCCTTCCCCTCTCGGTCCCTCATTATCTTCCCCTCTCTTACCCTCACATCCTTCCACTCGTCCCCTTCTCTCTTTCCCCTTATTCTTTTTTCTTTCTCCCCCCCCCCGTCGGTAGTGGCTGATGTAAATCCTGAAGGGAGAAAATGAAAATTGAATTTAGGCCTGAAAATGAGAAATTATCCGTCTCATTTCCCTGTATGTGTGTGTGTGTATGTGTGTGTGTGTGTGTGTATGTGTGTGTGTGTGTGTGTGTGTGTGTGTACTTACCTATTTGCCTACTTGTGGTTGCAGGAGTCGATTCTCAGCTCCTGGCCCCCCTGTGTGTGTATGTACTTACCTATTTGCCTACTTGTGGTTGGAGTCGATTCTCAGCTCCTGGCCCCCCCCTGTGTGTGTATGTACTAACCTATTTGCCTACTTGTGGTTGCAGGAGTCGATTCTCAGCTCTTGGCCCCCTGTGTGTGTATGTACTTACCTATTTGCCTACTTGTGGTTGCAGGAGTCGATTCTCAGCTCCTGGCCCCCCCTGTGTGTGTATGTACTTACCTATTTGTCTACTTGTGGTTGCAGGAGTCGATTCTCAGCTCCTGGCCCCCCCTGTGTGTGTATGTACTTACCTATTTGCCTACTTGTGGTTGCAGGAGTCGATTCACAGCTCCTGGCCCCCCCTGTGTGTGTATGTACTTACCTATTTGCCTACTTGTGGATTAAGGAATCGTATTCCATGCAATAACCATAGCCCCGCCGGGTTGACCGCTGTATAAGTCTCAAACTCATGCCCTGTCGCGTTGCAGGAGCATCTAGCCACAATAGATTCATCCAACTGTGTATATTTTACTACCATAAGTTGCACAGCTATCTTGACACAATGCAGTTTGTACAGACGAATCTCCAGCTGCGTGGCCGTGACGAACTCTAGCTCAAGTCCTTCACTGCCGTAACATGATAAGATCGTAAGACACGATTGCAATAACTACCCCCGGCCCGTGATGACGGTATAGATCTCAAACCACCGTCGAGTGCCTGTGCTACTTTCTATGGTGAGAATACCTTTGAGTCTTATTGGCTACGGTCTATGCACGCGACTGGCTGGAGTTTGAGACTCTATGACCGCGGGTTAATCCCGCCGGGTATGTTGGTTTGCCTACTTGTGGTTGCAGGAGTCTATTCTCAGCTCCTGGCCCCCTGTGTGTGTATGTACTTACCTATTTGCCTACTTGTGGTTGCAGGAGTCGATTCACAACTTCTGGCCCAGCCTGTGTGTGTGTGATATATTGTCAGAGTCGAGTCATAGCTGCTGGTTATGTGCGTATGTGAGCAAGCAGACAATATATGTACTCATCTAGCTGTGGCTGCAGGGGGTCGAGCCTCAGCTCCTGGCCCCGCCAGGAAAACACAAGATAAATATACCAAATTTACCTGGTGACCGACCCACAAACATGTCTTCATTATCGTACTCTCCCCTAATCCTCTTTTATCCTCTTCGTCCCTCTGTCATTATTCTTGCACTGCATCCTGCAACATTCTATAACCAACAAGCTAAGATTTCTCAACGTGTTCAAATGCCTTCTCATTATGTCTTTGAATCTATATTGATAAAGCCACTGGAGGGCGAAACGTCTACAGATAAAGATACCCAGATGCTGCACATGTTTACCTGGAGTTTACCTGGAGAGAGTTCCGGGGGTCAACGCCCCCGCGGCCCGGTCTGTGACCAGGCCTCCTGGTGGATCAGAGCCTGATCAACCAGGCTGTTGCTGCTGGCTGCACGCAAACCAACGTACGAGCCACAGCCCGGCTGATCAGGAACTGACTTTAGGTGCTTGTCCAGTGCCAGCTTGTGTCTAATTCTTCAAAGTGTGTAAATAAGATTATTCCTATCTTATAAAATTCCAGACTTATAAAGGGAAGCTGGTAAACATGTGTGGCTTTCCTGACTCAAACATTCCACAACTGGGAGAAGAATTTTTAGACGATGTTTCGATCACTCCTGGAGTGTTATCAAGGCGCCAGTATCACTCGTGATTTGATAATATAGCCCAGGACGGACCAAAACGTCGTCTAAAGTTCTCGCCAAAATGTGGGTTAGTTATAAAAAGTTACAGCCTTGGTATTGTGACTTGTGTCTTTCCGTGATTCTCATAATTGCTGACCGTTGTTTCTTCTGATAGTGTTATTATCTTGAGGTTAAATATTATCTATATGAGGGCAGTGTTTCCCTACCAGTGGGATCCAACCATTACCTGCTTCTCTATCCAGTGGGATCCAATCACACATTGCTTTCCTATTTATGTGGGGACCAACCAATCACTGCTACCTTATACCCAGTGGCTTCCAAGCACTCACTACACTCACCAATCGCTGCCAGAATCACCAGATCCTGGGTTCGATTCCGTGTTTATGAAAACCTACAGTAAAGTCTCCTAACAACTGCTGCCCCTCTTCACCTAAAAGTAAGTAGGTACCTAGGTGCAAGTCGATTATTGGGGGTTGGCATGCAAGGGAAATATACCTTAGGTACGGCGTGGTTTTGCAAGGAGCAGATTATTATTATTATGATTATTATTATTATTATTATTGTTATTATTATTATGATAGTAGAGTGAGGTAGAAAAGTGACAGCGGCGGCGTCCGTCACAGCTACGTCACAAGCCACACTCTACCAGCGCATACATAAAACAGCAACAATTCAAGCTTCCACGAAAAACGTAGCGATTTACGAGTAGCCAGAGCAATTGCGCCGTGGTGGAGGGAAGACAGAGGGGAAGGCAGAGGGGAAGAAGGAGAGGTGTGACGGAGTAGGGGAAGAGAAAGGAAGTCCAGAAAACTGAAGAGAGAGGAAGAGGTGCCAGAAACATACAAACAGCCTAAGGAAAAGAAAAGAATGATATAAGATAAATGAAGAAATTGACAAATCCTTCCTTTCTTACCCCTCCCCCTACCGATCCCCCTCCTCGCCTACCCCCTCCCCGCTCCAGAACCACTCTCCATTCCTTTCCCAACTGTCTCCTCCCCTCCCTCACATCTCCCCCTCCCTTTAACAGCACTGCTGTACAAACCTCAAGCTGCAGGAGCTGGGTATGGATGGAGGGAGGGGCGGCAGACCTGGAGGGAAGGAGGGAGGGTTGGCAGACTTGAAAGGATTGAGGGTTGGTAGACCTGGAAGGAGGGAGGGTTGGCAGACCTGGAAGGAGGGAGGGTTGGTAGACTTGGAAGGAGGAAAGGGTTGGTAGACCTGGAAGGAGGGATAGTTAGCAGACCCAGGAGGGAGGGTTGGTAGACCTGGAAGGAGGGAGGGTTGGCAGACCCAGAAGGAGGGAGGGTTGGCAGACCTGGAAGGAGGGAGGGTTAGCAAACCCAGAAGGAGGAGGGTTGGTAGACCTGGAAAGAGGGAGGGTTAGCAGACCCAGGAGGAGGGAGGGTTGGTAGACCTGGAAAGAGGGAGGGCTGGCAGACCTGGAAGGAGGGAGGGTTGGCAAACCTGCAACCTAAAACAACCAGACATGACACAACGCGACACGACACAACACGATATGACACGACACAACACGACAC